CGTGAATTATTAATGTGCATTTGGTCACAGAGATAGTTAATAAATCTTGTTTCAACAAGAATATTTCAACCATTTTCCTCATTCCCCGTTTGGAAGAAATTGATAGGTTTGAAGTGGCCTTGAAATTTGCAACTGCAAGAAGATTCTAATCCATATACAGCTTACTCAGACCTTGCAAGGAATCAGTGGAACTCAAGGCAACGGGCCCCAAAACATACATAAAGGTAGTAGTACCTGCCAACTGAAGTACTTACTTCTACAATCAAGACATTCTGAAAAAGAAAAGACAGAAAGACATCAGTAATTTTAGTTCCGTTTTGAACTCAAACTTCTATTTTTCCAATCCCCCCCCCCCCATTTTTAAAAAACTAATTAACTACCACGTAATTATAGGTAAATGCCCCATCAGTAAAACAGGCAAGGAGAAAATGGCTACAAATTGTTCCTGGTGTTTAAAATATACAAGTTATTAAGAGCTCATTAGCACATTCTTTGGGACTTTAAACAATTAAGTTCAAACATAAACGTCTAACCACAAAGCAGTAAGAATTAAAACTAGGAAAGACATTGCATTAAACGCCTTAGAAGCACATCCTAAATGCTTTTAGTTAGCTAGCATTTTTGAAGTGGTTTAAGTACTTTCTCATGGCCAAAACTAACAAATGTTTTTGAACATACATCTAGAGAACAACTTTAAAATCAGGAACTCTACGGCTGAACTTAGAAAAGGGATCATTTGAGACATCTGGAAGGTTTTAGGAAAATCTGCTCAGAGTAATGTCTATTTCTTTTTGATCCCAGGATCTGGTGTTCAAAGCTGCAGTGATATGGGCCAACATAGGTACCCCTTGCTTTTTATTTCTTCTGATGTCATCTCCTGCCTTTCTTAAAGGAACAAGAGCACCATTTCTGTGTTTATAAACACAGAAATATAAAAATGTGCACCCTGCTCCCCTCACCAGAGACACCGTATCCTCACAACTGCAGAGTTTGCTGGGGCAGAGAGAACCCACACGATTAGCTAGCAAAGCTTTCTGACAAAGCCAGAATTCCAAGGGAAACTTGGCAACATTTTTTGCATTTAATTTTTTTTTTTAATGAAATACTTTCACACCTTAATTGCATTTCATTTTAAGTACATTTTGCTGATGCGCATAGCATTGCCTATCCCTGTTTTCCAGAAGCCTCTGTATCCATGTCTTCTTTTGGGACATACCTTCCCAGTCAAGGTTGATAAGTCATCCCCGCCAATTACTTTTATATCGCCGGTTGACTGGTCATTCTAAGTTTAGTCAGGAAAGAGAGAAAAAAAAGAAGTAAAGCTGTTATTAATAGTACAGAAACCTCCAGGAAAGGAAAAAAACAAACAAACAAACCATAGCCTTTTTTGAAATGGAAACTTTTCAAACATTAGCAAGCCTGTGGCTTCATCCCCCTCATAGCAAAAGGAAAAGTCATGTTTTCTTAGCTGTCATAATCCTGCAAACAAGGTTTTTTTTTCCTTGCCTAATCCTACAGATCTTAATGCACACAGAGTCCAAGGTAAGCCCCACTCATTTAGATGGGGTTTATGCCCAGGAAAATGTGCACAGACTGCTCACAGAGAGACACTGTTTTTATATTATATGATACATAGTATTATGATACATATAATAACAGCTGCGAAATTGGTGTATGTCCAAAACTGGAAGAATGAAGATACCCCTACAGAAAGTGAAGTAATAAGGAAAATATTAGTCTGTGCAAAGATGGACAGACTAACTTTAGAAATCGAAGATAAGGGTGAGACAGAGAATTATGAAGTCTGGGGTAGAAGGTATCAATGGCTATAGAGTCAAGGAAAAAGAAAGGAAGGGTTGACACTTTATAGGAACGAAAGCTAAAGTTTTGTAACCCAAAGAGTATATAATATAATGGACAAATATGAGATGACATGAATGCATGAGTATAAAAGATGGTTGTTAATATGTATATAATCGTAGATAAATGTAATAGAAATAATGCAGCTAGCACTATACTTATAACATAAGGGAAAAAGGAAATTAACTGTTATGTGTAACTCTACACTATAGCTTGTATGGCCAAAATGATGGCCAAGAAAGTCACACTGTGTTCAACTGTTTTTAAGATTTATTCAATAAAATATATATTTTTTGTAAAAAAAGAGGCACTGTTTTCATCCTTCTGTTGAGGTTGTTTCTCACCCCAACCTGAGATGTTTGCCCTTGTTTGCTTTGAAGCAAAAAGCCAACCACAGTTCATCCACGATTGGACTGCATGCTCACAGTAAGATTCGAAGGAGGCAGAAGGAACATAAATTGTTTTCAAATAACTGCCTGTTTCCTCCCCCCCCACCAAGTTTCAGAGTTTCTTTTTGCCACCAAGGAA